CGTTGGACAAGACGGCGTTGGACAAGACGGCGTTGGACAAGACGGCGTTGGACAAGACGGCGTTGGACAAGACGGCGTTGGACAAGACGGCGTTGGACAAGACGGCGTTGGACAAGACGGCGTTGGACAAGACGGCGTTGGACAAGACGGCGTTGGACAAGACGGCGTTGGACAAGACGGCGTTGGACAAGACGGCGTTGGACAAGACGGCGTTGGACAAGACGGCGTTGGACAAGACGGCGTTGGACAAGACGGCGTTGGACAAGACGGCGTTGGACAAGACGGCGTTGGACAAGACGGCGTTGGACAAGACGGCGTTGGACAAGACGGCGTTGGACAAGACGGCGTTGGACAAGACGGCGTTGGACAAGACGGCGTTGGACAAGACGGCGTTGGACAAGACGGCGTTGGACAAGACGGCGTTGGACAAGACGGCGTTGGACAAGACGGCGTTGGACAAGACGGCGTTCGACAAGACGGCGTTCGACAAGACGGCGTTCGACAAGACGGCGTTCGACAAGACGGCGTTCGACAAGACGGCGTTCGACAAGACGGCGTTCGACAAGACGGCGTTCGACAAGACGGCGTTCGACAAGACGGCGTTCGACGAAATGGCGTTCGACGAAATGGCGTTCGACGAAATGGCGTTCGACGAAACGGCGTTTGACGAAACGGCGTTCGATGAAATGTCCGGTCCCAGATTTCTTTCCCCTTTTAGTAGTTAGCTGTTCTTGCCTTGACTCGGGTCCCAGTGGGTGCGTTGTCGTTGAATGCCCACTATTTTATTTATAATTAAAATAAGAACACCGACTTGACATAACAGAAAAAAAAACATTTGATTAGACGTTTCGCCTCCCATGTGGGGGGCATCACCAGTAGTTACACAGCAAATGCATGATTCAACCACAAGTCAACGCTATTTATTACGAATGTCCGTGTTGGCTTCTTGGAGAGGGCCGCGGTTTTTGTTGCACACGGATGTGTCCCTGCGAACAAACCACGATTCTAGGAGCTTTCTAGGCCCCCATCTGTCCTTCCTCGCCAAGGTCATCGCGGCAGGAAAGTCGAAAGAATGCCCCATTGTCCACGCATGGTCCGCCAGTTCTGTCTTCAGTCGGGTCGCTTGGGATGCGTACGTGACGTCACGCTTGTGTTCTTTGAGTCTGGTATCTCTCCTCCGTCCGGTCTCACCAATGTAGGACGCTGGGCAGTCACTGCAGGGGATCTTGTAGATAACGCCTCTTTTGGGCGTTCGCCGGGGTTCGGTCCTTCAGTTTGGAAACAGAAAATAAAATATAATATTTATTTATTTTTAGTTTATGGTAGTTTTTGCGCTAATGGGGTATCAAGTTAGACAAAAAAAAATTGCACCTCGACAAAAAAAAAAAAAAAAAAGTTGTTGCGATCAGGAGCGTTTTCATAGCCCGGAGCACCTCGCCTTCGTTCCCGTGACATGTCGCTGGCTTTCGCGTAGCACCCCTCAATTCGAAAGGCTACTGTGTTCTTCAGGGAAGACGATTTTAGGAGCCTGCAGTGTTACCACAGGTGCAGGATTGAGAGCGTAACCGACGCAATTGAAGAGAAAGAGAATCTCTCATCTTATCGGGAATCTTTTATTGGTTTCCACGTCGTGATTGTCCTTTAAAATCAACTGTCATTTATTCCTCGCTCGTGGCTTCCAAGTACTGCACGCAACTAGTGAGATAGGGTATAGTCATGCCAGATTAACATGATGGATATCTCTAACGCACAACAGTCTTGCGAAATCAAGGTTTCGCTGAAATAAATAACTCACGTACAGTTCGACGCGAAATACCTTTGACGTATTGACTCGCGAGAGATGCCCCCAACGCGGCTGAGTATGGCGCTGTTCCAGACCTAACATCTAAATTTTGTTGCCTTACCTGTTACTATTTCGCGCGCATTTTGAGCCATATCAAAATGAAAGCGCATGATGAAATGAAAGCGACACTCGTTTTCCGCTCGATGGAAATTTCACGCCAGCTCCAACTCGCTGTCTTTGCTGGTACCTTGAGGGTTTCCCAGCGACGCGAAGAGTTAAAAAAAAAAGAACGTACGATGGCATCCTTTGCACACTCATTACTTCTATAACACCGAGCCACCCCGTATCCTTTTGTCTTTCTTTCATGGTACTAATTTCTTTCTGGGCATTACGGCTGTTACGACGCTAAGTCTGTCTGCCCTTTGAATTTGAACTTAGGCTCAGATCAGGGACGAACCAGTTTAAATCGGGAAAATATTTAACACTGTAGCAAAGTAAATCTATCATATCGATCGTAAATACTATTTGACACATTCCATCTGAACACATATTGTGCACAGCGAATGCAATAGCGAGTCAGCGTGCAAAACGCCGCCACACTACGCTACCATAACATCTACGCGATTTTTGTATAGCACCGAGCACAGAAAAGAGAAAACAGTTATTCATTCAGATAAACGAAGCAAATTTATTTAAAGCCCGGACACTCCGTACGTCTAATCTAGCGAAGGTTATCAATAGACTCGACCATGCCATTTGTCGAAACAAATAAAAGATGTTGGCAGAAATGAGTAGACTGAATAAGTGAATCTAACGCACGTATTTTACCAACCGACGGTCGCGTCATTTCCAATTGTCATTGCGCACCTTGGACACACTTTGGGGAGCAATACATATTTACATCGCCGCCCGAGGTCTTCATTGCACGTGTAGTGCTAACCAAAATAGAATGCTAACCAGATTCTTAATCGCTCGCCGCAAAGGACGATTTCGAAGAGGCGGTACTGTAGGTCACTTGAGATAAAAAAAAAAAATGTATAGAAACGAACGTCGTAAAAAAAGGGACCGACATTGTTATTCCTACCTTCGAACAGAAACGAGCGCCACCCACTGCACCACACCGCGCGTATTGTCCCTGACATCCGATGGAGTGCACACTGAGCTGACTGACCACAGACATACTAAGCGCGCGCGAGGGAGGAAGAAATTTCCTCCGCCGGGAGAACACGGCAAATTACGGGGATCTATATTACGCAGCGGATAACGCGGGTCTTTTCACACTTCGAGACTGGCGCCATCTAGAAGTTGCACGTTCAACCACGTTACGAGCCGCGCGCCATCTGGTAGCTAAAACAGACGAATGAATAGAGGCACCGCGCCCTCTTAAGTTCAAAAAGTTACGTTGAGCAACTTTATGAACTTGGATGAGTTCAGATGCGATGTTGAGTTATCTGATGAATCTGGGGACGGTAGTGATGTGATTGGAGCGAGTTTTTTATGCAGCTGAACTAAAGACGTGGAGGGTGATGAGTTTTTGGTTAGGTTAGGCTATGGGTTTGGACACATGTGGTGTACTTTGTGATGTGAACGCAAATTAATTAGGTAGATCAGGAATCTCCAACACGCGGCTCGCGTCTTTCTAAGTGGCCGAAAGCATGCTATGTATAACATATTTGGATGGTTTTGCACTATTGTGTTTTTTTTTGCTTTGTGTTTTGTTTCAATTTCTGCTTCTCAGCTTTTTCTCATTATAAAACCACTTGCAGGACAATAGACTTTGCTAAATTACCGAAGCTCAAGGGGAGTGTAGTTACATATGCTGCGCATACTTCCTTCTGCAGCAGTAACTTCTAAAGTAAAAATCCAATACAAAGGGCACTTCAAATGCGCATTCGTCAAGGTCTTAATACCGTTGTTTACTTTGAATATTTGAGCAAAAGTTATAAAGGTATATTCTGCTTCTAGGCTGCAAGTGCTTGGCTACACAAACTCTGTCTCGGCAGGATCAGCTCTCACAGATAAAGCTGCTCAGGGTTCTCACATTCAGAAAATATCACCATTAAAATAGGAGTATTTTTCAGACTGCTGCTGCAGATCTTGTCAGGAAAGCAAGAACTGTCGTATGAAGATATATTTTTTTTTTTTGGAGACAAGAAGCTAAATTGACTTTTGTGTGAATGGAGCAACGGGAACGACGGTTTTCTTTCTTATTCTACTAAAAGCACGATGGTGGGGCGGTGCTAGTTTAATTTTTGTGGTCACATCATGCGAGGGCCTAAATAGTCCTATAAACAAATAAAAGCTAAAGATTGGAAAAATCGCAGGTTTACAAAAAGCAGAGAGCAGAAAACCTCCCCCCTGGCTTATGTTGGCCCTTGACCTTTCTCGGGTGGGCCATCTGGCCCCCACTCTCAAATGAGGGAGACCGCTGCGGTAGATTCTACTTCTGGTTCAAGACCGTTGGAGGGGTGCATAAATAACGATACACAAATACATGGCCAACATCGCAGACAATCGACAGTGGCCCCAAATGCATAGCGATAATACATGTGCGAAAAGAGAAAAAAAAAAAAAAAAACTGACGAAATCGTTGCTGTCGCTATGCTGATTTTCGACGAAATGCGTTAGCATTTAGTGCAGGGGTTCTGAGTCGGTGAAGGATAGGAATTCCATCCTTCCATAGTTACGTTTGCTTAACGGTCTCCGTACTGCAGTCTTGGAAGAGCCAATCTTTCCACCAGGATGTCTACGGTTTGGCGCAAACGGCGTCGTTGCTGCGCCCAGGTTTTACGTTGTCGCATACATTGTGCACACTGGGAAAACGAAACCTTGTGTCTATGCCCCGGCGCATTGACAGCGGCGCATCTTTGGAAGCATGCGAACAAACTAGAGTGTTACTTCAACTGGTAGGTTATTCCAGTTTTTGAAAGTAGGAGGGAAAAATGAATATTACGTGGCATAGTACTCATGTTGGCTTTGTATGTTGGATTGGGCAGAAAATTCTACTCGCTTCTCCCGGTTAGTGTTGATTATGCCACAAATTGTCTGGTAGAATTTTCAGTAAGAGCATTTCTGGTACTAAGGTTTGGTAGGTGGGATCTCAAGCAAGTCGCTAACTGAGGCAATTATATAGCCCGAAGACAATCGCTTTGTACTATCTTCAGCCTATTGACGGTGTTAGATTTAAAATTTGATGCGAAATTGGGTTTTGACGCAGGGTGCGGCCCTTGATCCCGCGCGAGGGGATCGACATGTGCCACGCCTGCACGAGCGTGGCCTCCGGGGAGCCCCAGATCTGGGTGGGCAAGGACAAGGCGTTCACTTTCGACCACGTCTTCGACTGCCCCACCCACCAGGAGCGGGTCTACGACACCTGCGTCAAGGCGCTGGTCGAAGGGTGAGACTTCCCTCCGGCTCCTCTTGGCTGCTCATTGGACGTACCGCAGCTTGTGTGTCAACCAATGGAACGTTCTTGACCCGCTTGCTGGTTTAATGTCTCGCCAAAATGTAAGTAGCCGCGAGAGGTGTCGCAGCTTCCGATGCTCTTGTCCTTTGTACTCCTTTGTTCACCCGTCCTTTATACTCCTTCATCCAACGACTGATAGGTGGCTTCTCGCAATTAGCCAGCGCCGACCCTCGCGCCTTTTTTGAGGAAGTGGAGGGGTGCCTCAGTGGGAGTGAGGGTTGCGAGTTGGGCAGTCACTCACCTACTTCACTCTCACCCTTGAGGCCTGAGGTGAGGGTGAGTGAGTTCGTAGGCCTCGAAAACTCGCGAGTTTCAGGTTGAGAGGGACGTGAGCTCAGTGAGGTCGGGGAGTCCGGGTAGTCAGGGAGCGCTGGGGGAATGTAGGAGAGCAGATTTTTGGGGCGTGTAGCTTGCGCAGAACTCGACTGCCTCCCGAAGTTTTGCTCGGGCACCTGCTGCCACCGTTCATCTTCTAGATTTGTTTCGCACGTGTGTTCTTGGGAACGTGGTGTAGCTTTTTGGGCTTTCTCGATGCACAGGTGAGACGAGTGTGTGATGATCCGTTGCAGATGCCTTTTGCTTCGTCTAGCAGAAACGAACGAGAGTTGTCTCAACTAGATTTGATCCGAAAGTATTGCCATTATGTACATTTTTGAGGCTGTCCTCATTGAGTTGATGCTCGATGAGGAATACGAGTTCCTGTTCGCAATGCAAGAAAACTCTTTCGACTCTATTTCTGATGGAAAGTGCCGTCAACGCTACATACCGACTGCGTCAGCCAAGTAGTGGCAAAAGCGTGACATTTGCAATGTTTGTTGCCTTTCTGTTGGAATGGTCATAATAATCTAGGGTTGAGAATTCCGCTTTATTTTGTGCGTTTGCCTGACTTACTATACAGTGCTTTAGTTTCCAGCATAAGATTGGGCAACAGGCACAGCGGTGGTGGATCGCCATCAATGACAGTATACAGTTGCTTCATAGGCTACTTTCTTTGCTCACTTTTTCTATTCTCCGGGAGCTCAGAGTAGTCTATAGGCCGGAGAACTCGGCAATTGAGTTCAGTCCTGGGGGTTGCCCGGTTCGGTGAATTTTCGTACTTCTGACCAAATGTGGGGGTTTGACGTCTTAAATAGATTGGCCGGACTGTCGCACAAAAGTTTCTAGTTTTGTAAAAAAATAGGTTGTACAGTAGCGTGTTTCTGTAAAACAACTTCCCACATTTATACAAAATAGTAAACAAAAAAATGTTTTTGAATGTAACAAAATATGTTAATTCGGGAAAAATTTTGATATGCAGGGATTTGCCTCAAAATTGGCTAGACACATTGATCTGAACTAGCGTAAAATACCGCGGAAGCAACGACTTGGTTGAAGTGCCCACTCGAGTCGCCCAACGTTCCCAGAGTACGGAATTTTATTCCCTCCGCTTAGTGGAAGTCAATCCCCGGAAAATGCAGTTCTGAATGGCTGGTTTAACCCGTGCGGGAAGTTATCAGCATCGACGAGTTAAGACCGAATGAAAGGTGCGTCAATTTTTTTTGGAATTTTTTTATATCGAGTAGCCGCTTATCTGGTTTGCAAAAGAAGATTGCCGCCTCGTTTGCTCGCTCGGGTTGCTCTGGTAATGCGTTTCAAACTCGATACCTCTGACACTAAGCCTAACATTTGACTTGGGTGTGTTTCGAGGCGAGAGAGAGACAGCGAGGAGCAAGTCACGCACTGCTCGCGACGAAGGAAAGATCTTTACTAAAAACAAACCAGCATCACCACAGGCCAGCAACTTTGATTGAAGAGCTTGCATGAGAAGGAATGTTACGCTGTACCGCATAGGGCAGCGCTATGTTGGGGATTGCGACTGCTGCGGCGCAATAGGGTTCTGAAGCGAACTCTGGGAACATTCAGGGACCCTGGCGTCTACTATTAACATTTCCAAAACTTGTCAATTCTGCAAATTATGGGTTAACTGCCCGATTCGACCGGGCCCCCGTCTAGATTAACACAACTTTCGGTGAAATGTGGGGTGGGCGCTTTCCGGGTATTTTATGATCGTTTCATTCAAATTTTTAATTTGATCCGAGCAGTGGCAACACTGAAAATGGCACTTGAGATGTCGTAATATACACCAACTCATGTTTACAAACAAACCGGAGCGCCTCTAGCGAACGCCACCCGCGCCGGGCATGCGCAATGGAGTGTGGGCAAGAAGCTCACCGTCGCCCATAAACAAACCATTGAAATGCGATGTTGTCGGCGTCGGTGTGAGTCTCCTTGCCCTTTTTTGCGTTCGAATTGTCGATCCTACGTCTTCGTGGCAATGTCTGACTACTTGAGTGGCCTCACCAAAATTACCGAGGCTCGTTACACCGCAAAACTTCGCGTGAATAATGTGACAGGCGGCGATTCATTCCACGTGGACGCCGCAGAATGTGCGCTAAGCCTCATTCGCATAATGAGATTACTCTTACAATTTTCAGTTGCGACGTCGCTCGCGCTGCAAAAGCGTGAGCCGTAGTTGAGATGGTAGACGTCGATACTGAATATCGCAAGCAGGATCGGACCAAGTGAATCAGGCATAACATGTCGGTGATGGCCACTATTAACAATGATCAATATTTCCTTGTATCTACAGTTTACATCGAGCCGCCTTACCAACCATCGAACTTAAGTCTTTTGGGGCCTGCACTTACTTCTTATTGCAAGTACCGGGCCCACGTTTGGTCTACGGGCCGGTGTCGTCTAAAAGAGCAGACGACAAGGAGAAGCGTTTAAAAGAGCAGACAACAATTCAATCGATCAGGCGGCTGTTAGAAGTTGAAGATGCACTGAACGTAGTCCCCCGGTGGTCCGTACAACTTGACGGTTTTCCGGCGTTCATGTTGGAACAAACGTAGAAGTTTGGGCTAGTTGGTATTTCATGATTAAAAATTAAAACAGCGTAAGGACACGGGCAAGAACAAGAAGGTAGACGAACAAGGCGCTGTTCGTCTACCTTCTTGTTGTTGTCCGTGTCCTTGCGCAGTTTTAATTTTTTTATGTTGGAACAAAACAAAAAAATCTGACGACAACAAGTATCCGTGAATTCAACCGAAAGTGCTTCCTGCCCAAGCAATCGCGGTCCGACGGCGTCTGGTTTTTCATTTTCACGGCACATATCCACGTTCTCGGACGAGCCGAGCGCATGAAAACTAACCTTCAAACTCTTCTCGACTTATTTGGTTTGGCCCCAGTCGCGGCGTTTTGACGAGAAGGCAGGCTTTTGTCCGGTTCCTTTCAAAACAACGCAGGAATACACGTCTCGGACAGCCCCAGACCGGAAGTGCGCCCGACGCGCCACCACCGCGCCGTGACGTAACAGAGATTATATACTTTGCAGGTTACCCGTATAGTCATTTCCTTGATCTCTGTTCCGAATATTTTTAGAGCGCAGCTCTTAGGGGCCCGTTTCCAGCCTGAGCGGCGTCGGCGTCGCCGTTGGCGTCGCCGTTGGCGTCGCCGTAGGCGTAACCGCGCCCCTCCCTCTCCTCCTCCTTTCCTCCTCCTCCTTCCCCTCCTCCTTCTCCCCCTCCTTCTCCTCCTCGTCCCCTCATTGTGTAGTATGGTCCGGGCGGGTCACGTGACCTCGGGGGGAGGGGGTCACATGACCCGTTTCCAGCCTGTGCGGCGTCGGCGTTGGCGTCGGCGTCGCCCCTCCCCCTCCGCTCCTCCATCTCCCCCTCCTCCCCCGCCAAGGTCACGTGACCCCGGGGGAATGACTCCCCTTCCCCCGCCGGTCACGTGACGGCCCGCCCAAGGTCATGTTATCCCGTCCCCTCGAGGTCACGTGACCCCCCGGACCTCTGCCCTCCTCCTCCTCCCCTCATTGTCTAGTATGATCCGGGGGGGTCACGTGACCTCGGGGGAGGGGTAAAGGAGAGGGAGGGGGAGCAGGAGGGGAGGAGGACTAGCAGGCATGATCACGAGGGAGGAGGAGGAATACACCCTCCACTCCTCCTCCTCAAGAGCTGCGCTCCGACTCGGCGTTACAGGAAGTTGCAAACTGCTTTCGCTTTTTTTGGCATCTTGTTAGTAGACCAACTCAGATTACCGATAGTATGGCTGCTGCGTTGGATTTAGTTCTTTCCACTGACATAACCCTCTTACCAGGAATTAGCGGTGGTTGCACTCTTCAACTTGCACACGCCCAAGTGTATGTCTAGAATAGAACTAATGCTACGCTATTTCGTGATATATATGTCGACACAATGAATAACAGTTGGCAACCTTCTGGATGAGTTCCTGCTTACTTTTTCAGAGCGTCCGGATGAAACTAATTAGAACTTGATTAAAACTAAACTCTAATTACTTTATTCATTCCATCTTTTTTTTTCTAAACCCCAGTCTCCTTGGTTTAAGGGGGGAACACTGGTGTTGGAGCTTTTTTTCTTATTTTACGACCAAACCGAATGAAATTGTACAAGCTTGTTCAGTTTTTAGTACTGATTTCATATATCTGGTAACTTTCTCAGTCAGAAGAATTGTTCTCAAGCTAATTAAAACTTGCCTGCCTTTGTTTGGAGGAACGATAGGAAAAAAACTGCTCAACAAAATATCCTTTTTAACAGATGGTTAGATACTACGAAGTGTAGAGAATACAATGTTGGAAGTACTTTTAGAAGATAACTGCAAAGAAAAAAAAAGCTTCTTTTAAACAGCTTAATTGGGACAAGCATGTCAAGAAACAATTTTTCCGTGAGAAAAAAAGTTTTTTAGAGCAACATTTTTTGCGTGAGACTAATTTTAGTTTGCGGCTCTTCCGTCCGTTTTAAATCGCGCGCCACGAAGTTGGGATTCTGTGACGTTTATACCAATCGGCTGCTATACTTCTCATTGGCTAAGAGTTTGATTGACAGCTTAAAAAATAAAAAAGCACTATGTTCACTACGTAAAAAATG